AATCGATTTTATAGGGGTGGCTTACAAATAGATTTATAGGGGCGGCTGGTGTTATCAGCCGCCCCTACTAATAGATTTATAGGGACGGTTTGAGAACCACCCCTATAAATATATAATTTGTAGCCACACTTTGATAGGGGCGGTTAGCCAAACCACCCCTATAAATCATCTGGAGCCGCCTCTATAAAAGGTTTATGTTGTAGTGCATGCATTTTGTTTCACGCACGCTACATATATACTCTGTTGATGCGAAGGCTGCAATTTACTACTCCTCTATTCTAACTTTCTTGAAGAGTAAAATCATCTTAAGTTTGACTAAAATTATAGAGAAAATCATATAGATTTATGACATTAAATAGGCATACTAAAAAAATATAATTAATGAAGAATTTAATAACACGTATTTAGTATCATAAATGTTATTATTTTATTATATAAATTTGGTCAAACCGGATGTTTTCACTGTTAAGAAAGTTAAAATAACTTATAATTTAAGATGGAGAGTACTACTTAACAGCCAAACCAATGCAAGCATTCGGTTCCACCGTTGGGATTATATTCTGCGTGTTTTGGCGTGTACCACACAACTTTATTTATTTATGCTGTACTCTCAAGACTGCACTTTGCGTGTGCCTGTGATAATATTCTAGGTCCTACGTGTTAGGGGGTATTTGGTTGCCCCTTCTAAATTTTAGTCGCTATCCTATCGAATGTTTGGACATATGCATGGAGTATTAAATATAGACTAATTTGCGAGACGAATCTTTTAAGCCTAATTAGTCTATGATTTGACAATGTGTTTGCTACCGTAATATATGCTAATGACGGATTAATTAGGCTTAAAAATTCGTCTCGTGAAATACTAACGGATTATGTAATTTGTTTTTTTATTAGTATCCGAACATCCCATGAAACATTCTCCCGATATACCTCCTAAATTTTAGTCACTGGATCCAAACACCCCTTAGCCCAATAGTACATGCTATTTGTCACTGCACCGTAGTCCCAACACAACGCGCATGCGACTAGGCCTAACGACTTTTTATGGTCGGTGTAAATGGCACGGCAAAGAAGATGGAGAGGGAGGACGTGGCGAGGAAGAACAAGATGAAGAGCGTGGCAAGGAAGATTGGAAGGGTTGGACACGGGAGAGATTTGGTGCTGGTGTTTCAAGCCTGATCCTAGGGTGAGGCAAAGTGGTGGTCGCTCCAGGCCCCAAAAGAAAGGGATCTCTTTCCAGGTATGTAAGACTTGTTTGGATTGGAGCTTCACAAACTTGTCTGAGCCAGGCATGGCTCCCAAGCGTCCGATTTTAGACGCCTCGGGTCAGGATTGCTTGCCTGGCCAGGCGTTGCCTGGGAGGCTTGAATCCAAACAAGCCCATAGTATGTAGTACTATCACTTGGTATATGGCTTAATAAAAGTCTAAAAACCCAAGAAGACAACCATCCAGCACTGAGATGCATCACCAATTGACGTCGTCTGAACCGTGCCATGTAAAACAAGTCACGGTGCCTCGTTCATAACAGCCGGTGCACCAGATGCAATATATATCACTGTTTGTTCTTTAGCACCTGACAACGATGGCGTATTTAGGGTAGTGATACAAAAGATAAAGCGGTTACAACAGATATTGCACTACACGCAGCACAACTTTTGGATTGAGAAAATGAAGGCTACTAGCTTAGGACCTCATTGGATCCTTTAGTCCGTCCCTACCCTGTTTGGATGGACAGACTAATGGCCATCAAAGTTGTTGTATAAAGACCAAAACGTCCCTAATTAATGCACACAATCTCCTCTTATTTCTCTCCAACTTTTCCCTCTCCTCTCTGTTTCTCGCATCTGGATTTCACCGGCGGCACCCCTTCCTCTCCTGCTCCCCCATCCACCGGCGGCGGCGCCCACCTCCTCCCCATTGGCGGCGGGCCCCCCTCACCGGCTGCGGCAGGCCACTCCCCTACCGGCAGCGGCGGGCCTCACCGGCCACGGCGCGCCTCCCCTTCACCAGCCGTGGCGGCGCGGGTCTCCACCAGCGACGGCGGTGGCTCGGGTCTCCACCAGTGGCGGCAGCGGCGGCGTCATGGATCTCCTCCACCAGCGACGGCGCGTGCGGGTCACCTGGGCGATGGCGAGCCAAGACCCAGGCACGACGGTGTTTTGTCAGGAGGGGTTGGGGTGTCTTTTTTTTTGCCCTTTAGTCCCCTTTAGTCACCCTAGGGACTAAATGGAGACTAAAAGGGGATGACTAAACTTTAGTCACCTGGATCTAAACAGGCCCTTAGTACAACTTTATTAGTGTCGTTGCCCTTTGCGTGTCCATGGTAATATTCCTATCACTATCACTCACGTCACGTGTTAGTGATGAATGATGATGCATGTTCCTTGCTTATATCTTTGATCTAATTTCTATCACCAACTTCGGCATGTTTTGCTGCCTTTCGTAATTGCTAAGCTTTCCTTTTTTTTGATGGATCATCTTATTACCTAGATGAGATGAGATGATCGGAGCGCAGAGATACTATGATATTCTATATGATGTTTTTTGTGGCTAAGTATACATAGAATAGAGGTGGTTTTGACATATTTTAATAATATATAGAAATAGACAAAGATTGATATTCATGAGCATGAGTGATCCAGAACATGAGGTGTTTTTTATCCTCAAGGTCAAGGGGTAGCCTTGTATTATTTAATCCAAACAAAGAAAGCTTTCTTGACCACCACATCTACCCCCTTTGTCATCTAGCTCAAAAAGGCAAACCATATAAAAAGGGGTGTTAGTAGTAAATGTGTTCATGTGGAAGTTCCTTACCAGCTAGTGTTCACAACTTAAGAGCGCAAGGCATAGGGGTGATATTGGCTTCCATTCTTCCCCGTATGTCATCTTTTATGGGTTGTTCATGATGTTAATCTTAATCTCCTCCCATGGTCATCTAACTCCATCGACTAAAATGACCACATAAGGAAGATTTGAAGACATGTTAATCTCAAACCACAAGCCATTGATCACGCTTCCCTAAAAGTGTGCATGAATTGATTGAGTTACTTGAATAGGATGTGAATTTAAACATTGACACCATTTGAAAATCATGCACCTTGATTGTAAGTTTGTAACATCAATTAGGGAGCAAGCCCACTTAGGCAAAGTGTGTTTGTTCAAGGTACTAAAATCAAGTGGTTGCGGCTACAACCCTTGCCTGCAAAAAAAGGACAACTACATCTCCTTTTATGTATACTGTGCTCTACTGCACATTGCTATTCATAGGGTAACTATATATCAACAACTTATATTATAAATTAATGTGCTGTATAGCACTAAACAATAGTCTTACCAGAACACAACAAATTGTTAGCCATCTTTGAAGGGAATACATTGCTAAGGTAGCAGGTTACCCATCAGCGAAAGCCCCTAATGCCTACTACTATCATGGTAATATAATATATGCTAGAACTAAGAGCATCTCCACCAGATCCCCTTTCCTCTTTTTCTTAAAATCTGCTATAGGGGATTGAGAAAACACAATTGTGAGCTATAGGAGAGGATTGTTGCAGCGGAATGAGAAAAATCTCATCCCTTTTATTAAATGGACTCACTTGTCAATCTCATTCTTTTTTTTCTCCCTTCTCTTTCCCTCTCTCCCATGCTCGCTCTGGTCGCGTGGAGCGTCATCGCTCGCCCACGCTCCGCAGGTGCTTCTCTCTCCTCTATCTTTGGTGAGACGACAACGTGCTAGGGCCCTTTGGCGCTTCTCTCTCTCTCCTCTCTCCTAGCGTGAGCGGCAACGCGGCCTGTGGCGTGCACCCCGCACACGGTGGTGCACGGTCCGTCGTCGTCCGCACGCCGTGTCTACCAGTGAGGTACGCTGGCTGTGGATGCCGGAAATCCAACGGTGCTCGTGAACGATGGAAGAAAGGGGATTGAGAAAAATCTGAGCTTCTTCTCCTTTCTTAAAGGGATCGAGGAGAGATCTTGAGGGATTGAGAAAAAAAAGGAGAGGGGATTCGAAAAGGGGATCCGCTGGAGCTAGTTTTTTCTAGCAAATGCTTTTTATTTTTATCACTAGTTATAGAGAAAGGAGATTGAGTTTTCTCAATCTGATGATGAAGATGCTCTAAGCTGTTTAAGCAGCATCATGCATATGCCATGTCGAATAGGTTAGTTTGTGGCTGCTGCGGGCACGAACAAAGCTGGGAAGGTGTAGGAAAGTATAGGTTGCTGGTACGCACCACGGGCCCCCGAAATTAATGGCTCCAACATCAGTTTCGGCCCACCAAGGAGCGGGAAGCAGCGGCCCAGTGCATTGTGGAACCCTAGGTATTTAAAAGCCAAGCCACTCAGCTTCAACCCCTCAGCATCAGCACTCCCGCAGCCGCACGCCCTCAGACACTACGGGTGCGGCGGCGCACTCTGCACGGCCATCGCTCTGCCCCTTCCCCCCAGCTGCACGACCCTCCCCGTCGGCGCTCGCGGCACGCCCGCTGGGACGCACGCCGCACGGCCCCGAGCCCCATCCCTAGCGGGCGGCGACGGCACCGGCGAGCCTTTGCGCGGCTGTGCCCGAGCTGCGACGGCGAGCTCTATCTCGGGCGCCCGTACATCTTCGTCAGGCCCTTCGCCGGCGACGAGCACCCTCAAGGTATGCCCACCCCTTCTTTTCCGTCCCTGATGTGCGAAACCGGCCGCCCAAACCATGAACCTGAGTTACTCGGCTATTTGTAGTGTACATGCGTTTTACCATGAACGGGTGCCCTGTTCTTGGGCCGCCTCTGGCAATGCTAGTTTAATTTGAGTCGTTCAATACCTGCGATTAGAATTTATTGTGGGAAGCAAAACAACGATGAACAAGCTGCGAATAGTCTTTATTACTAGTCCACTAGATCGCTTTGTAGTTGTAGCTGTTTTCCCAGTAATTTCAGCTATAATTCCAGGTGTCAACATTCGAGGCATCAAGGGACGCAAACCTCCACAGATTTCGTTGCCTCGAGGGGGAAGATACATGAATACAAGCGTTTGCCACCACCACCTTGCCCAGTGCAAAAAGCTAAGAGAGCTCCAGAGAATCCACGCACTGGCCGTTGCCCGTGGTCTCCACCCCAACCATCAGTCTGTTTCCTGCAAAATCTTTCGCTGCTATGCTGATTTCGGCCGCATAGCTGATGCCCGCAAGCTGTTCAATGAGATCCCCCACCCTGACCTTATCTCCTTTACTAGCCTCATGTCCCTCCATCTCAAGTTAGACCACCAACGCGAAGCTATATCCTTGTTCGCTCGTGTTGTTGCCGCTGGCCACCGCCCTGATGGCTTTGCGGTTGTTGGTGCCCTGTCAGCCTCTAGTGGTGCTGGTGATCAAGTGGTCGGTAGGGCAGTGCATGGCCTTATTTTCCGGCTTGGATTGGATCGTGAGGTGGTCGTTGGCAATGCATTGATCGATATGTATAGCCAGTGTGGGAAGTTTGAGTCTGCGGTGAAGGTGTTTGATAGAATGTATCTGAAAGATGAGGTTACCTGGGGTAGCATGCTGCATGGTTATGTCAAGTGTGCTGGTGTGGATTCGGCGTTGTTGTTCTTTGATCAGGTTCCTGTGAGGAGCGTAGTTGCTTGGACAGCACTGATCACTGGTCATGTACAAGGCAGGCAGCCTGTACGGGCTCTAGAGCTTTTTGGTAGGAAGTACTGGAGGGCCATTGCCCTACTCATGTCACAATTGTAGGTGTACTCTCAGCTTGTGCTGACATTGGTGCTCTGGATCTAGGGCGTGTCATTCATGGATATGGAAGCAAATGTAACGCCAGCTCGAATATAATTGTTAGCAATGCTCTGATGGATATGTATGCAAAGAGTGGGCGCATTGAGATGGCATTTTCTGTGTTCCAAGAAGTTCAATCAAAGGATTCTTTTACATGGACAACTATGATCTCATGTTGTACTGTCCAGGGAGATGGGAAGAAAGCTCTTGAGCTCTTTCAGGACATGCTTAGAGCTGGTGTAGTTCCAAACAGTGTAACCTTTGTTTCTGTTTTGTCAGCATGCAGCCATGCTGGCTTGATAGAAGAAGGTAGAGAGTTGCTTGGCATAATGCGTCAAGTATACAAAATTGATCCCCTACTTGAGCACTATGGTTGCATGATTGATCTGTTAGGACGGGGAGGACTACTAGAGGAAGCAGAAGCTCTAATAGCTGATATGAATCATGCTGGCTTGATAGAAGAAGGTAGAGAGTTGCTTGACATAATGCGTCAAGTATACAAAATTGATCCCCTACTTGAGCACTATGGTTGCATGATTGATCTGTTAGGACGGGGAGGACTACTAGAGGAAGCAGAAGCTCTAATAGCTGATATGAATGTGGAGCCTGATATTGTTATATGGAGGTCACTTCTTAGTGCATGTCTAGTTCGTGGCAATGATAGACTAGCTGAGATTGCTGGAAAGGAAATTATAAAGAGAGAACCTGGGGATGATGGGGTTTATGTGCTTCTTTGGAACCTGTATGCATCATCAAATAAATGGAGAGAAGCTCGAGAGATGAGGCAGCAAATGTTGAGTCTTAAGATCTTCAAAAAACCAGGGTGTAGTTGGATAGAAATTGATGGTGTTGTCCATGCATTCTTGGTAGAGGACAAGACACATGATGCTCGAAGGGAAATTTATGAAACCTTGGAATACATAACTAGGCAGCTCAAGACACATCTCAGATCATCCTCATGGGAACAACATGGTTCATCCATATTTGTTGATGAAGAAATCATAGAATCATATACTGCCCATTTGTTGCATGATTGATTCACATGAGTCCTCCCACAAAATAGCCTTTTAGTTCCTAAATCAAATTTGATGATCATATTGTAATTTATGTCTTATTGGTCTTCTTTTATCTCCCAGTGTCTCTAGATCAAGGTTATAGGGTAGAAATTCACTGCTTTAAGTTTGTGGCAAGAAATTATTAGATATATGTTGAGGTTGGTTTTACTTTCACCAGTCCGAAAGTTATACAAACTTACTAAAGGTTTTAAAATTCAAGTGCTGGATTACAGAGAAATTTCTTCTAAATAGCAAGATTTTTTATCATACTTTTTTTATCTATTTTATTGCATTGTATTCTAATTTCTAAATTTTGAAATGGTCCGTCCCTACAGTATGATACATGATTATCCGTGTCAAAAAAAAAAAAAACTGTGATTTGATTTGCTCGTTGTCAGATGTGTTCTGAAGTTGATGTTGACAAAGATGCAAGTGTTGGACAGAAGGGTTGTAAGGATATAAGGCGTTACCAATGTGAATTTTGCACTGTTGTCAGGTCAAAGAAATGCCTAATTCAAGCTCACATGGTTGCACATCATAAGGTATAAGCATTCTGTGATATATAGATGCATTAGTCAATATATATCTTGTTTGATTAGATAGCTATGAGCCATCTATATCATGACGCATCATTTACCTTTTGATGTCTGCCTTTGTATTATTGTTGTTTTGGAGCAATACATAGCATCTCTAATGTTTTCCCAAAAATTATCTGCAGGATGAACTGGATAAATCAGAAATATACAACTCAAATGGGGAAAAGATTGTTCACGAGGAGGAACATAGGTGCCAAAAGTGTGGCTCTTGTTTCCAGAAACCAGCTCATCTGAAGCAGCACATGCAAGGTCACTCACATGAGGTTGGTATTCATCATCTCGAATTTAGCATGAGCTGGCTCTTTTTATTTTTTTGGCACTGGCCACCTATATGTGCTACATTTCAGTTTTATAGTATACAGCATGATTTTAACATATGATTTGCACGCATGACTTATGAGGCTGGCTGTAATATTGAGTTTTCCCCCTATATGATTTGCTAAATACAGTTGTTTTGCAGGCATATAGTTAACAGCGTGAAGCATTGGATCCCATTTAAAGAACTCCAAAATGCGATGAGGCATTTTTTACTCTTGTCTGAACTAGTAACAGGTTGGGATGACCTCCTGTGAAGCTTCAACAAGATTGCCTCAGTCACGCTCACTGAGTAGGTTTGTCCTTACAAAGTTCCCTCTTTTATCATGATGCTCATAGTCTAAATACTGCATTTCATGACATACATGATTATTTTCAGAGCTAATTTGTATTGTGCCTTCTCGTATGGGTCAATTCAGTGAATTTTGGAGTTTTCTGTTCTCTATTTATTTCTTTGGGCTTCTGGCTTTTTGGCCTTTAGTTGTGTCAATCTGGTGATCAAACATCAAAATATTTCAGAAAGCTTGGGCTTTAGTTTATAAGTTCCTTTACCACTAGTTTTCTTTAGTGCTGTGAGGATCCTGGAGATAAGGCTGAAAGTATCCTCCTTTCATTCTGCCATGGCTCCATGGGCTTCCTTATGGGAGCTTTGATATAATGCTTGAGGATCCAATATCAAAATGTCATCTCAGAAAGCCAGGCCCATTCTTCATTGGTTCTCAGCTCGCTATGGTGACAATAGTCCTAAACCATGTCATTTTGCAAGGAAAAAAGTATAATGAAACGAAGTGCTGAACTTGTTATAATGCTGTAAGGATTATATATGGGTTATGGATCTTTTGGAGATAAGGGTGGAAATATCCTCCATCCATTCTGCCATGTCATCATGGGCTTCCTTATGGGAGCTTTCAGAAGATGCTTTAGGATCCAATATCAAAATGTCGTCTCAGAAAGCTCTGGCCATTCTTCATTGGTTCACAGCTCGCTATGGTGACAATAGTCCTGTATCCTGTCATTGTGCAAGAACAGATGTACTGAATGGAAGTGCTGAACTTGTTATAGTTTGTTGTAAAGCTTTGACATTTAATTTTTTTACCTTTTTATTTAATGAGCTTATCTTCCATTATGTATCATAATATTTCTCCTAAAATTCACTTTTAATAAGATGGCACATTTGATTAATTATTACATTAAAATAGTTTTACCTTTGTAGGTCCTTCTGATCATGATCCAGTACAGTGTTTATAATTCTGAGTTCTGATGATTGATTGGTTCATTATTTGAAGCATCTAGCACAATGTTAAACAAAGAGCATTATAAATATTTTGGTCTTAACACATATTATTGTTCGACTGTACAGAGACTCTTTATTTGCCCACTTGAAGACTGCCCCATCAGCTATAAAAGGAAAGATCACTTGAACCGACACATGCTTAAGCATGAGGGCAAATTGTTTAGTTGCACCGTGGATGGTTGTGATAGGAGGTTCAGTATGAAGGCAAATATGCAACGGCATGTTAAGGAAATCCATGAGGATGAAAATGCTAGTAAGAGCAACCAGCAGTTTATTTGTAAGGAGGAGGGCTGTAACAAGGTGTTTAGGTATTCATCAAAGCTGAAGAAACATGAGGAATCCCATGGTAGGTCAGCGTTACCGGATAATTAGGAAAATAGTAAATGCAGCTTATTCATTGTTATTTGCATAATGTTCATGTAACATGTTTTCCCTTATCCAGCGTATGAGATATCAAAATGTGAGGGTTGTTTTTCCTTGCAGTTAAATTGGACTATGTGGAGGTATTGTGCGGTGAACCGGGCTGCATGAAGATGTTTACAAATGTTGAATATCTGAGGGCTCATAACCAATCTTGCCATCAGTATATTCAGTGTGAGATATGTGGAGAAAAGCACCTGAAGAAGAACATCAAGCGGCATTTGCAATCCCATGACAAGGTGCCCTCTGGTGAAAGGATGAAATGCACTTTTGAGGGTTGTGAACACTCCTTTTCCAATGTAAGCAAGATTGATAGATTTTTGAATGCGCCTAGTGATATTTTCCAACGAGTTCTTTAACCAACCATATTCCTGCTTTCTATTGCAGAAATCAAATCTGACCAAGCATATTAAGGCATGCCATGACCAACTGAAACCTTTCAAGTGCCAAATCGCCGGGTGTGGCAAGGCGTTCACCTACAAGCATGTCAGGGATAACCATGAGAAATCCGGTGCTCATGTATACATTGAAGTGAGTTCTGCTACCTGACCTATATTAATTCCAAGTTTGTGTTTTTGGCCTATCAGACCAAACTATCAGCTCCTGATTTGTATGTATCTTTGATTCAAGCATTCACATCTGTTTTGTGACCAAACCATGTGAACTTGTGGATAACAAGCTGCTTCTTGCAGGGAGACTTTGAGGAGATGGATGAGCAGTTGCGTGCCCGGCCAAGAGGTGGACGAAAGCGGAAAGCATTGACGGTGGAAACATTGACACGCAAGAGGGTGACCATCCCCGGCGAGGCTTCATCGTTGGATGATGGAGAGGAGTATCTTCGCTGGTTGCTTTCTGGTGGGGATAATTCAAGGGAAACTCAGTAGTTTTGCTGTTTTGGGAAGGTGTCGCTGCTTTGTACATGGGTTATGTTATGTAAGTTGTAGTTTGATAAGAATGTTGTAAGTAGCGCAGATGATATAATGACAGTATGGTAGCGCAGGGGTTTTATAGGAAGCTTGCCATCCTTGTTATGGTAGCGCAGGGGTTTTATAGGAAGCTTGCCATCCTTGTTGTATCTGTAACTGTAACTCACGTGAGTCTGGATAATATGTTTAGGCGGGAATTATTACCAAATTAGTTTATCCACATACTCCTTTTGATTCATGGCTTCTCCATCGAAGAAACAATGATTGCAAGGGCATACTCCGGATGTGGTTACATTTGGAGCATTTTTCATGCCCTTGTTGCTGGGCAGGTCAGTGAGGCCAATTTCTGGGAGATGAAACGGGTGATGCCTGATGCTGGCATATAATTTAGTGGTTAATTAATGTACTGACTAATAGTACTTCGATTGCAGAAAGAAAAACATACAAGTGTTTATGTACTGGATATAGGACTTGTCGATTGGAGAAAAGAAGAACCTGATGAAATGCCGACAACTCTGGCATCTTTGTACCTAATCTAATCGCTCTTTGTGTGCATTGTATTTTTCTTTTCCCCTTCTAACAATAAAGAAAAACGTTCATTTGCAATTTGTCTTAAGAATTATAGTCAATCACTCAATTCATTGCATGTGTAAGCCATGCTGGTTTTATGTAAAAATCAATCACGCCCTAAGCAAACTCTTCAGCTACAGGGGTCGGAGGTTATTGTATCCTTCCAGAGCTTAGAGTCAGCAAGCTGACTTCGTCTATTGAGGTTCGTCCGAGTGCCCAGCTAGTCGGGATGTGCCTGATTAGGTGCTGGGGACAGGCCAGTCGTGGGCGTGTATCAACCTTGGATAACCCTGAATTCGCACGCCCCTGGAAATTTTGATATTTAACCCCGAATTCACACGACCCTCAACATTTAACCCCCAACTTGCAAGCCATTTGAAATATAAAAATTTCTCACCTTGGATGCCCCTAAGTCCAGTCACATTTGCTTGAGTCTTGTTCTGATGGGGCTTGGGGTGGCTATGACCAAGATCTCCGGTTGGTAAGGGTACCCGGGGAACAGGTACTCGTCACCGAGGTATTTAACCTAGATACCACATCGGGTAATTTTAAAACATGTAGTCGCCTTCGCCTGGTCTTGCATTTTCTTCCTGCTGTCTAGAATGGTGACCGAATGGGGTAGTTATATTTATAGTCTCCATAGATCAGATCATAGGAACGGTGTATCTGTAAGCAAGGATGGAGTGGATGGTGCCAAAGGTCGAAGCCACTTAAGGCTGGTTGGTTGGGATATTCGGCATGTGTCACCTCCTTTTCCATGAACGCTCCTGATTGTTAATCTCATGGAATAGGTGTGGAGACGAATGTCTTATTCGAGGCTGCCCGGACCATTGGATTCATCACCACCTTAGCTCATTGATTGTTTGGATCATTTTGTAACGCCGATCATGTGCTTCCTGGGTAGATCACATGTTGGAGGAGTTGTGGATCTTTTAGCCCATGTTTGTTTGGCCTGTTTTCTCATTTTCTCTTGGTGTAGCATTTAGATTGTTGACCCATCAAGTTTTGAATGCTTGCAGTTTCAAAGAGTGGTCCGAATTGAAGTCATGACAGATCGGTCGCTGTAGGACTACATCATTTGGTATTAATTTGGTTAAGTGAATGAACCTTGTCCACTGCCAACCTCTCTAATGTACTCCCTCCGTTCCAAATTATAAATCGCTTTGATTTTTTTTGGTACATCCATTTTACTAAGTCGCTTTGACTTTTTTTGATACATCCATTTTACTATGCATTAGCAAAATAGATGTACTAAAAAAAGTCAAAGCGACTTATAATTTAGAATGGAGGGACTACCAAAGAACTTGAGACATACAAGTCATGGTTTCTAAATAATGTATCCACGTGAAAATATGGTTGCACTAGTGTGCTTCTTACAATAAAATCTTAGAAAGAAGATCACTCCTTGATACATTTGGATAATATTTTCTTACAAAATATTTTCTATTGAAATTGAAATATTTTTTATTGAGCATAAAAATGTCCTTAGTTTACGACGTTACGTAACAATATATTAGGTTCATAAGAAACTTGTTCTAGGTTTAAAAGAAAATTGTTTGAACGTTCATGAAAAAAAATTATACCTTAATAAAATAATAAATATTCCCTTTGCTCATTTGCAATGTTCCAACAATATGTATTATCATGGTTCCACTAATTTAGAACCAATGTTCCGCTAGCAATTGACAGTATTCCTTGGAAAGATAAATACAAATTATAGAAAGAATAAAAACTAAAAAAGGTAGAAAAAATCTGCAAAATAATTGTTGAAACAATAAACATCCATGTTCACCGGGAGACCCCTGTGCCCTGTCCCCACGTGTTCTCTCTCGATCTACCGCCGCCGCTGTTTCGCCGCAGGACACATGCCCAGGTCTTTGTTGGCCCCTTCTCTGATCCGGTACGTCTTTCTGCTGTGCGAAACCGAGCAGCTAGCACTCTTGTAATCGGAACACCTGATTTTTTTTAAAGATTACTGGGTATTAATGTCCGCCTATGTATATGAGTAGGACTCGAGCTGCTACTTGCAGTCGGTCAGTACGTGTAGGAACCCCATAAATATGCACTCGCTCCATGAACGTGAACATAGATCGATTCAACGGCTCTTCCATTGCATCCCTCCCGAAAGAGAAAGAAAGTCCGCGCCGTCCCAGCATGTACCCGCTTCGGCGGCCGCCTATGATCCTATACCAGCCGCCGCCGCCGCTGCCGCCGCCGCCGCTGCCGCTAGTACTGTATCCGTCGCCTCCGTATGGTGCTGTCGCCGGCTATAGTTTGGGGGGTCTGTACGAGCTCAGCTGTCGTATGCCGCCATCCCGTACCAGCCGCGTTGCCCCTGCTGTTGTACCACTGTTGTACCCAGCGGCAGCCATGTTTATGTACCCGTCGCCAACGTATGGTGCTGCTATTCAGTCCTGTTCGCTTGTCGGTTTCAGCTAGGGCTTATCAGTCAGTCAACAGTGTTTTTCTCTCACAACAAACTAGCACCAGCCGAACTTATCAGCCCATAAACCATCCAGCGAACAGGCTCATTAGCCCATCGATTCATCAATTCATTCCATACAATCTATTTTTTTATAAATATGTTCATCTATAAAATTAATCTACTTAAATCAACATGTTCATTGTCTAGTATATAACTCTTATATGCTTATAAGCTCTAATACAACCATAGCAGTCTTATCATGTTTAAGATATAGTGTCTACTTCTATGGCTCATTATATCTCTCATGTGGCCTAGTATTGATAGAGAGCACTCCTATATATAGTTGCTTATGGTCATTACTATGTTATGATGTGGTAACCTAAGACACTCTTCTAGGCCATTTATCTGTATGACCCTGGAAAAAATGCATCTTCCCCTTTTTATAACTTACCTGTATGGCCCCAAAACAAAATTTTCTTCCTTCTATGGCCTTCCGTCCGTTTTTGGCACTTGACGGTGTTAACTCAAGGGTAAAATGACCATTTCACCCCTGGCGAAAAAAATAAAATGCAGTTTTATTTGTTTTTTTGTACATTTGGAGTAATATTACACGAATAAGTTTTAAAATGTACAGGTAAGTTTGGAGTAATATTACGCAAATAAGTTTTAAAATGTACCGGTAAGTTTTGAGTAATATTACGCAAATAAGTTCATGGACGGATTCAAGGGTATTCCCTTGAATTCCTAGGAATACCCAACTATTTGGGACACCTTTTATGTATATATATGTATCTATACTCATATGTATATATGTACAATACACCATTCTGCAGCATTTTCACTCAATTTAGCCCAAAACCTTAGAGTTGGCTAGCTGAACAGTTTGTTATTTGAGTATTTTGTGACTTTAATCATCCGTAACGTACTACTCTAAATTATATTTTAAGCCTATGGATTCGGTTTTTTTATGGTGTGGAATAGGAATACCCAAGTTTCAAATCCTAGCTCCGCCACTGAATAAGTTTTAAAATGTATAGCAGGCAAATAAAACTCTGCATTTTACTTTTTTCGCCAGGGGTAACAGGGTCAACTCCGCCTATGGTGAGGCGCCTATGGTGTTCGAGCATAGCAGGTCCCAAGCCCTGATAAAGGAGGAGGGTTGTGCTAGGCTTGGCGAGCCAATGTAAAAACTTAGATACTTTTATGGAGATGAAACCCAAATGAATCCCATTGGAGCATAACGCTCTTAGCGACACGCCATGTCAGAACCCGGGTATGGTGTTAAATAAGTAAGGCTCGGGTCGTCACCCCCGTGACGCACCGTGTTGTGATCTGGGCACGGTGTCAAGTGAGCAAGGATCGGGTAGTCGCATCCTTAGCGGCGCGCCACATCAGCCCCGAGTGTGGTGTGGTGAAAAATGAGCAAGGGTCTTCACACCAGTCTCGATGGGTGCGAAGGGTAAGGAAGCTAGTCGAGCCAACTATGATTCGTCTAGGTAGTGAAAAAACATAGGGTCCCTCACGAGTAAGTTAAGGGAGTTAGTTGATACAATGGTTAGGAGGCGGGTAAATATCTTGTCGTCCCAAGAGACTAAATGGAAGGGATGTATGCGAAGGAGGTGGACAATCACGGCTTCAAGCTCGATACAGGGGACAACTTCAAATATAAATGGAGTAGGAGTTTTGATTGATAAGAGGCTCAAGGATGCGGTGGTGGAGGTTAGAAGGCAACAAGATAGGATCATATTAGTCAAACTTCTTGTTAGTGATATGGTATTAAACGTAATTAGTGCTTATGCCCCCAAGTAGGCCATGATGAGAGTGCTAAGAGGCAATTCTTAGAAGACTTGGATGGCTTGGTTAGAGCGGTACCTAGTAGCGAGAAGCTCTTCATAGGAGGGACCTTAATGTCCATGTAGGTTCAACAAGTGCAGGTTTTGAGGTGGCTCATGGAGGTTTTGGC